GCCCGCCCGCCCGGCATGGCCCTCGCGGCTCGCCCCCCAAAATCACGCGCCCCGGCCCCAGCGACTTGTGACACCCTTCAACTCTGTTTCCTTCTGGACAAGGCCAGAAGCAATTTCCTATCCTTGTCGCCCAGCTTAGTGAGAATTGCAGCAAAGTGGCAAAGCTGCTTTTCTTTAGACGTTCAGTTCAGTTCCACGTCTGTATTTGCAACATGGAGATTGCTGTAGATTGTGTTTCTACAGTAGCCAAAGGGCATTCCCCGTTCCCCAGTTCCGTCTCCTGTTCCCCAGCATGATTGCTGCTCTACCAACGGAAGGCTTCCTTCGTGCAGTATAAGCCCAGAAATCCTTTTTAATAGAGATTGCAAACACCTGGGAAGGACTGTACTCCTCTGTGGAGACTTCAGGAGAGTCAGAGCAGTACCTGTTACTGAGGGCCTGAGTCCCGTCATACGCCCTTTAGAGCCAAGCAATCACATGTGCTCTACGGGAGGGTAACAAGGGGCCTGGGAACTGTCAGTCAGCCAAAAGGGTTTCCCTCCTCCTGTTGGGGACCAGCAAGTACCTTTCTAGTGCAAGAAGGAGAAAAGATTTGGTTGCAGAGTGACCGCTGAACAGCTCCGTGGAAGTTGGCGGAGAGCTACAAGGCTGAATCAAAGAATAATGGTGACCAAAGTGCGAAGGAAATCCCTTTGTGGGGTGGCTGTACAGATCTGAACGACCAGACTTGCCCTTCGGGCCAACTAGAGGTAGTCTTACGGTGTGTGCATTAAGTGCCTGCCTTAGTGCAGCATGAAAGTTGATTCCTTCAAGGAGGGAGCAGCTGTCCTCTCTGAGGAAGGCAGGGGAACCCGGCAGACCTGACGGGCTTTTCTGCCAACAAAGAGGCAATGAGGTAGAGAGGGTCCGAAAGAGAACTCGGTGGCAGCACTTTGTCCTTCTGTTCTTGACTGCTGTGATTGGGAAGGTGTGAGGGCTAGACACGGCCAGAACAGGGAGTGCTCTTCAGGGGGATTGCGACGGGAGCTCCGAGGCACTCCCGAGCAATGGAGCTCGTCAAGTGGAGCTGGCCAAAGAGCTGTGCTCACGCACAGCCTCGCTCTGAACCCAGGTGCTTGTTCCCTGGCACCGTTCCCCTCTGTCGCCATCTAGCGAACGGAGCTCTGTAACGTCCTGGCGTTGGAAGGCCGAGCGAAATCTCAGAAAGCCTGGTGGGAAGGAAACCCTGCGCACCAGAGTTCCGCTTGGAAGGTGGCCGGCAGAAGAGGATGGCCGAGGACACTCTAAAAGCAGGAGCTGAAGGAGGCAGCCTGGGAAGCCTCTAGTCACTCGCAGCAGGGTCAGCCAGCTACTATGGTAGAAGGGCTTCCGGGGGTTTCAGGTTTCTCTCTTGGTCCGGAATTGCATTGCGGACCTGGATTCTCCAATCCTGGCTTTCGCATTCCTTTTTTCCTACTCTGGTTGTGCCTGAGACACCGTCTGGTCTTTGTCCTGGCGTCGCAGGGGAATTCTGCAGACAAGTCATCGTTGTGGCGTTAACTAAAAGGGCTTCCTTAATGATTAAGCGATGATCAAATGGTAATTAATCAATGATGGAATGAAAATCAAATGGTAATCAAATGGTGACTGAGCAAGAATTGAATGGTAATTAGAATCATAGAATCGTTTAGGTTGGAAAAGACCCTTAAGATCATCGAGTCCAACTGTTGACCTAGCACTGCCAAGTCCACCACTAAGCCACGGCCCTAAGCGCCACGTCTACACGTCTTTTAAATACCTCCCGGCACGGGGACTCAACCACTTCCCTGGGCGGCCTGTTCCAGTGCTTGACAACCCTCGGGGCCCACCGATGCAGCCTGTCCAGATCCCTCTGTGGAGCCTTTCTCCCCTCAAACAGAACAACGCTCCCACCCACCGCCTCCCACGCTGCCCCACAGTCACTTGCAGCTTCCTACCCCACCAAGGAAAGGCTCGCACTGACGCTGAAAGGCAGTTTATTGCCACGGGAAAAGGCCATTTCCGCCGTCACTCCCCAGCTTGCGGTCCTGCTGCTTTTTGTTCTGGACGCAGCGCATCACCAAAGCGCTAAGGTGTTCAAGAGAAAGATGTTGGGCCACCTGCGACACTTAGGTGCCGTCCTGAGGTCCTGTGCTGTGCCCCGGCCACCCGCCGCGTCTGAGCGGACGGGATGCGTGAGCCCAGGTCAGGCTCAAAGGTCGCTTCTGTCCCCTCTACTGGGGAGCCCAGAACCGGAGGCAATACTGCAGATGCAGCCTTACCAGGGTGGCGCAGAGAGGAAGGATCACCTTCCCCGTCCTGCTGGCAGCGCTCCCCGTGCCGGGGGCAGGAGCAGAGCTTTCCCTTGGCCCTGGAATCGCACTGCCTGAACAGAACCTTTCGGCCAACGGTGCCACCCTCGACGACTGCCGCATGGCACCTGGCATTTGACTTTGCGCTTGTCGCACGACCCGCCCGCCCG